AATCAGCGTACATTGATGTAGAGATCAGCGTGCTCTCTCAAACGACGTGCTCTCTCGCGTGTTTTGTCTTCTTTGATCGCCCTGTCTCGCCATCGTACCACATCCGACCGTTACTGAAGGTTAAGCCTTAATTTTAGCGTTCCTGGATTTCTCTTGCTTTCCTTCCACTTCAGTTCATACCGCAGCTCATTCATCGCTACGCAACGCTCTCTAGTTTTTACTAGTTTTCACTAGTTTTATCCCGGGGTTTGCCTTTAAATGTGCTGTGACTAATGATGGCTCACTTGTACTTTTCTGCCATTTACTCATCAAACAAGACGTGATAATCTAAGAAAAACTCGAAAAAATTAAATATTTCCCTCTTCTTTTAGGATGTACATTGAATTCATCGATATCGGTGCTGCGGACATTGCCTTCAACAGCAGAACTTTTGCTTGATTATTGCAGTACGCAGAATGCCAGTACTGATTCACGCTCCCGGTTATTTTATAGCTCTTCGTTTTCACTTTATGCTAAATGATGTTGTTATGTTGCAATAATAAAGCGTAGTTTCGTACACATTATAAGTACATGCGCACAGAGAAATCATGCTGAAGTGTAACGGTCGCCTCTGGTAGGTTTTACATCATTTTTAGTGTGTTGTGTCCGTATTTTTGAGTCCGCTTCCAATTTCATAAGTAAACGCCATTGCTTTGGTGGTAATTATAATGCGATAATTTTCTGCTCGGAATATTGGCGTGTTCTGATTGTGTAGATGAGCAGTAACTGATGAGTTTTTGAGTTCATCTGGTGATTTGCATTGAAATAGAGATCTCAGTGGCTGATTTACGCGAAGTTTTTCCACGCTCAAGTAGCAGAGCGCTTTTTGCAGTAGTTTCTTGTTCGATCTGCAATTTTGATGGATTACTGCAAATCGGACGACCTTCTGGTCCAGACGTAGACGTAGAGATAAATAACCCGTCAATGGCTGCGCCGCAGCGACAGACAGTAGCAGATGAATAGCTAGAAAGGGCATTGTGACTAACCAAGATCTTTTTGAGATGAGAAATCAGATCGGAGGGAAAGTTCTATTTGTTTCATATTCCTGATCTTTCCTGATTACGCTTGGATGCTCAGGAAGTCGAATCGTCTGCGACTCGCATTTCAGTAGATGTCGTCGTTGGCTTCCAGCTCGTCTTTATGACTTACCGCTTTTATTGAAGCAACAGACCCAGCAGAAGTAAGCAAGCCAGCCCCTTTGGCGTATTCAATGCTTACCTCAGAACTAAGCCTTAAAGAGCCCGTAGGTCCGTCCTCTCTCCAAGGCTTAGTCCTGGGGTAAGCAAACCAGCCCTTTTGGCGGAGCTGCTGGACCAGCTGCACCACTTGCGTCATTACTCTCCTACCGTACCGACCGAGTTGAAGTAGTCCGTCGACCTCGGGGACCCCATCCCCTCCCCAACATTCAGCATACGGCCCAGCAGAAACGCCAAAAGGGCTGGTTTGCTTACCTCGACCCAGCAGGGTTTTTATCTTCGACAATTCTGGACATGGAACGATGCGCTAGCCCTAGTCAAGAACATAAGAAGTGTGACTGAACAAAAAACTCACCTTGGAAAGCGCTAGAAAGGGAGCTGAACGGCTTCGGGCGTGGTTGCTCAATCGGCTGCAATCCCCTCGGCCGACTTCCAACCACGCCCACTTCGAAGCCGTTCAGCTCCCTTTCTAGCGGCTTTCCAAGGTGAGTTTTTTGTTCAGTCACACTTCTTATGTTCTTGACTAGGGCTAGCGCATCGTTCCACACCATTAGTGTCGAAGGTAAAAACCCTGCTGGGACTGTTGCTTTGAGAAACATGGATTTCTCTCACTGGAAACCAGGCAACAGAATTCGCTGTACCTCTTGCTCTCTCCTACAGTAGATATTATATTGCACAATAAATATGTCCAATAATCACACGAATTCAAACTTTCGAGATGTCTGATACCAGTAATGCATTAGTTCTTCAGGAATTCGGTTGGATAGGCTATTGGGTGTGGTTCACTAGGACAGAAAGCGACTTTTTCGCGTTTCGCAGCGCGAAACATTTTTCGCTGCGGGAACCTCAGGTCCACTGATGATCAGCGGTGGACCTGAGGTTCCCGCAGCGAAAAATGTTTCGCGCTGCGAAACGCGAAAAAGTCGCTTTCTGTCCTAGTGAACCACACCCAGGCTATTGAATGGCTATTTCAGCTGTGCTACAGAGCCTACGTAAACTGGACCATGTGAGGTGGAGACAATGAACCGTTCAAAGGCGAGAATTACTAGAATCTCCTCAAGTTAAGACAGGAACATTTTATTCGAAAAGCATTAGATAGAGTGCGCGAGAATAAAAAGTTAGCGCTTATCTGATATTTGAACTTGAGATATTCTGCTAATTCTACAATAATTTCCAAAGATCTTCATGCGTAAACTGTACAAAAAACAATAAGTAACCCGTACCGAAAACGAAAAGCGAGATCTGATGGTTAGACTAGTTCATCACATCAACAAATGAAATCTCGGATGCCATATCCGAAACAGACATGTCCGAGCATGAGTTATCGCTTTCAATCATGTCACTACTAGAATCACGATCAGAACCTCCCGAGCTGACGAACGGACCGAAATTGAAGGAATCTACGGACACTTTGCCTTCCATCACGGAGTCTACCATGAGTGCTTTTTCAACCTGAGAAAATATACTCAAGAGTACTTCAATGTTAACATTGATAGACATAATAGAATGGATTTCGTGTAACCGTTAAAGGATGCGATAACCCTGGATTGCAAACTATGATCCGCCGCAGGTTTCGCTGATTTGAGCGATTTTCGCGATTTGCGCGAAACCTGCGACGGATCGCAAAAATTGCAAGTGCCCCATTTGAACATTTGAACTGAATATGAAACAAGTGGAATCATGAGCAGTCGTCATTCACTATCAAGCAGAAGTGGCGGCTAGAACACCTTGCAGTATTGATCGGCACTTGTGATTTCCGTGACCCGTCGCGTGAATCGAATCGCGCAAATCGCGAAAATCAGCGAAACCTGCGACGGATCGCGGACTCTGACATCAGCCTAACACTGACCCTTCCAAGGAACCGATACAACAGAAAAGAGGCTGGACAGACAGGCTTCGGGACAAAAGTGAACACTCAATCGAGATCAAAACCAAACTTTAGGCCATTGTGCAGTTAATTTTCTTGAAAATAGAACAACGTCTTGCCTTTTCGTCCTGATCAACCAGTATACTGAGAGGGGAGGAAGATGCATCCCAACCAGGATAAACTGGCAGGGCCACTATGGAGAGATTGAATGGAAGGGAAATGCACCTTTTCTTTGACATTGTCTGCGAGTTGTGACGTTAACCATTTGCGATCCACTCGTAAGAGTCACTTTTCGGTGATTTCGGCATGTACCTCTGATAAAAAAATTTGATAAGAATGAGTTAACAAAAGAGCTATCTCCATTTTTCTCTCTTCTATTTATCTCTGACTTGGTGCGAAGATGATGTCTGATCATACGCCTGAAGTCGTCCTTCGACAAACGTTCTGGATTACATCGAACCATGTTCCGATATCACGGCAACCTTCTTCTGAATGATGATCTCATAAATAGCAAATAAAAAATATTGCTCAATCACAAATGAATACGATGTTAGTGAAACGTTCCACGCCGCTTTCATAACTCGCAATGCGTAACAATACATCACCGCGGCATTCAAACTCGCTTAGGCTGCTTTCATAGTTCGCATCGGTGCGGTCGGTGCCGACGGCGCCGACGGCGCCGACCGCACCGACAGTGTGAAGAGCGTCAATACGCGCACTCTGGCGCATGACGCGAACGTTGGGCGCAGATCGCGCGCTCCGATCGATAATGGGTTTTGGTGGTATTTTCTTGTGCTTTTACTTGTTGGCCTTTCGACACGTTATTTTCGCGGCTCGTGCGTTGCTTTAAATTCGTGTGTTTCCCCTGTTCATACCTTCTGTCGTTATTGGCGTAATTGTGGCCGGGAGGGCGGAGTGGAAGTCGTGCGCGCTCAGCGAATGTAGTTGTATATCTCGAACATTCCAAGCTTGTCAACGGGGACAGCCTCTCATTTCAGCTTCTCACGCATGCTAAGTGACTGCCCTCCCACCCCCTTGAATTGGCCACACCCCCCTGGCTTGCGAGTTTCCTGTTGCCACAACGCCCCGCGCGACGGCTGTCCCCCCCTCCGAGCCACATTGCGCCCTTTTATGACTTGATTAATACTTTCCAGTTGTTCCGCGGGCGAGCGACGTCGTGAACCCGTCGCACAACTCCGGGTGGATGTGGCCATACCGGGTGTGTTGGTCGTAAGCAATTTTGTTTATTCATATGAAGTGAGTGCAAAAAACATCGAAGAAATACACCAAAACCAAGATTATCGACCGGAGCGCCCCATCTGCGCCCAGCGCACGCGTCATGCGCCAGAGCGCGTGTTGACGCTCTTCACACTGTCGGTGCGGTCGGTCGCACCGGGACAGCCGTCGCGCGGGGCGTTGTGGCAACAGGAAACTCGCAAGCCAGGGGGTGTGGCCAATTCAAGGGGGGTGAGGGCAGTCACTTAGCATGCGTGAGAAGCTGAAATGTCCCGTGAAAAGCTGGAATGTTCGAGTTACACTACATCGCTGAGCCGCGCACCGACTTCCCCCCCCCCCCGAGCCACATTGCGCCCCCAAAAGAATAAGTATGAACAGGAAACACACGAATTAAAAAAAAACGAAAAAAAGCGCGAAAAAACATCGAAAAGCAAAATAATATACACCCAGAACCAGGTATCATATTTGATCAGCGCGCGACTCCTTCGCCTAAGCGTGTCGCGTTCACTGCTGCCCAGAGGGTACTCTGACGCCCTTCACACTGTCGCAGTGCGGTCGTGCACCTACGGCGCCCCCTCGGCCCGCACGTGCCCATTGACGCGAACTATAAATCAGCCGCTATGCACTCTTTTCTCATTGTTGGCTTGGCCTAGTGCCTAGTATCATCAACTCAAAAACGGACGCTTAATAGAATGAATTGGACCCAACAGGCGTTCCGGCCCGAGCTAGGATAATAAAATGAATAAACTTCGCTAAAAAAAGTATATCGAACTGATTTTAATTCGTTAAACTACCAATTGGATAATCTTATGAGCCGCTCAAGAAAAACTTGGTTACACTTGGAGAATGTTGCTACCGCCCCGACAATAACCACCAGCACTCTCTTAGTTTGCGACTTCCTCAAGGGTAGGTAGTTCACCTAAGGAGCGGCATTACGGCTAGATAATTCGTGGGTGTTACGAAAGCCCAATTTTTCATAATGAGGCTTTGAAAGTACGTAGGCCTTGTAACTTCATCTTGAAGCAATTTTCTTTATTTGCTCCAGCTTGTTGGCAACTAGGTTTGTGGTGAGTAAAGGACATGAGGGCCCTGAAAGGGGACAGCATTCGTCCCTCAGGCCCCTCAAATTACCTCACTCACTAAATTACTCAACCATGAACACTTGCGTCGCGACTCATCGCCGGAGCTCCCTTCCCATCCCCAGAAACGAAAGTTACCCTCTCCACCAATCAAATCACACCCCCGCCGTAGGCCCAGATCGCTATTTGGGGGCAACGGTTGGATGATAATCGACAATTGTGAGGATGCCCGAGCCTGATTGGTAAACATGATAAAAAAAAGAAATTAGTAGAAAATCGCGCGCTGGACCCTCGCCGAGTGAGGGCGCTCCCCACCTTGCCCGCTTTCTAATAAGATGAGGAACGCTCGCACTGTCTCTGAAAGAACTGCTTAAGGTGCGGCGCTCATCCGGTAAGGGGGGGGGGGCATTGTGATGCAACGTCTAATAGCTGCCCACCCCCCACCCCCTGAACTGGCTTCACTCCCCCTGGCTCACGGGGTCCCGTACTTCGAGAAACCTGTGCGCCAGGGGGAGTGTAGGCAGTCTAGGGGGTGGGGGTGAGGGCAGCCACTTGATGCCCCCCTTACTGGATGAGCGCCTAGCTTGGCTCTGCTGGCATTTATTGCTGGCTTGTGAGAGTGAGAAATGCGGCGGCAATCGCATATGCACCAATACAAATAAGAAACAACAATTAAATGAGTTAAAACCGATCAAAGAACCATCACATTTCTTTCAACGCGGCAGTTTACACGCAATCGCTTAAGAACCACGCATACACAATCGCTACGGCTACCAAGTGTGCGGATCAATCGTCCAAGTCCCTTGTAGGGTTTACGGACTACTTGATTTTTCCTCAATGGTCCTGCCGCGATGGCTAGAGCACAGACGATTAGAGAACGGGTGAATGCCCTAGGACTAAGCCTTGGAGAGGAGAGGGACCCGCGAGAGAGCGCAGAGGCGGTTTAAAGGGCTGAGTTCAAGTAGTCCGTCGACCTCTTTGTAGCGGCTCCCAAGGTAAGTTTTTTGTTCAGCGACACGTTTTATGTTAGGGTTAGGAGTTAAGGGATGCCTGGAACTTACGAAATGCGTGAACATCCTTCTGCACAAGCAAATTAGTTCTCCCACATTAGACTCCATGCCCCTAGGCATAAGCGAAAATCCTCATCCCCTAGCTCACAATTGCTTCTGTACCCAGCTTCAAAAGCCATGCAACATTGAAAATCGAAGAAATTAAGTAGAAACGTGTCTCATAGCACTTTGCAACTCTGAGGGAGTCGCTGACCACAGCTGGAACTACCGCAATCCACACGAACATATGGTATCTCGTGCCTCTCCTCCTATATACACCTGAGTCTGCCCCTTACGATTAGCGTAAGGGTACCAAAAACGTTTGTCTGTTTGAAAAGATAACAGCTCCGAATGTTTTTGAATACTTTCAACAAAGTACCCTTTAGGTAAACAGTAGGAACATTATCATGGATAAGAGCATCGTTTGCAGACCCGGATGTCATAACCTATACGCTAATACCCCCTACTTTGCAAGATCGCGACTTGATGTTAAAAGTAAACAAAACAAAACATACCTGCAACGAATCTAGGAAACCGTCAGAGTTGACAATAGCGAACCCTTGCTTCCTAACAACGTCGAACGTGCCTTCTCGTTTAACGGACTTTTCTATGTCGAGTTTTATTTCAGCCACATTCTTGACTGACATCCTAG